TGAGCTCCCCCCAAACAAATAGACAATGAAAATATAAAAATAGTTTTTAGTAGTAAAAATACCAGCTATATATATATATATATATATATATATATATATAACAATACATTTTATCTGCAGTTCAAGGTATACAATTGCATTCAAAATATATTTAGTTGAAGTTATAAAATTGTGTTCAAATTATTTAGATTTCGACATTAAATAACCCATAGTGGTTGATATGCTGCTAAACAAAAACTACCAATTTATATATTTCAAATGTGCAAAGTACTTGGAATAATCAAGTTAGCAAGAAAGAATTTTATTTTACATTTTACTTGGTTTAAAAAAAAAAAAATAAAAAAAATTATTGATGAACATGTTCCAAAATAAATATTGCAACAGAAAATTTCATTTTATACCAGACAAAGAGAGGAAAAAGCACAACACCTAAATGAATGACTAATTAGGTGGGCTAATTATATTGGTCCGCACCCCTTGTCATTAAACTAATTTTTTCAAGAAGTTGGATTTGGACCTAACACATTTTTAAATTTAAACAGGAACTAAGCCAAAATAAATACAATTATATTAACATTGTAAATGTTTTTACAAGCTTTTTTATTTTATTTTTTTTAAATCTGATATAATCAAACAAATCCTGTACTCAGTTTCTTCCCTTTAATAAAAACAATCTTCATTTCCCGACACCTTCTGTTGGCACATATTAAAAGCAAAAAAACTTGCACATAAAAAATCAAAAACATTGGACGGGTATAAAGAAATGCACACTTATCTTGTGTGAAAATGTTTATACTACTGAAAACATCTTAAAATCTCTAAAATATTCTTGGCAGTACTAACTTTAAAAGTAATTTATTTCTATTAAGTGTTAATGGTTGTATACACAAGACAATATATGGGAATTATATCAATCTTTTCTTAAAAATATGTATGCATGCAGTACATATGATTAAAGATATGAGAAGGTATTGAAAATTTCTTGGCCTAATCAAGGACAGAATCCAACTCCATCAAATTTTCTCTATGTATACATACACAAGCAAAAATAAGTTTAAGACCAATTGGTTAAAGTTTTATTCATTTCAGAATATGTTTCTAAAAAAACAATATAAATTAGTTTTATTGTATATGCTTTATGCAGAATTTATTTCTCTTTTGAATGATGTAAAAATTATATATTTTTATACAACTTGAAAAATTTTAATGCTGGATTAATTCAAATGATCCAAATTTGCTGGCAAAATAAGTTTAAAACTGCATGGGTATCATGCAAATTATTTGCTAAATGGGTGGTCACATGACTGATCATTAACGCATTATATAATGTAATAAGTGAGCATTGTTATACAATTAATTCATTATGGGATAGCATCATTGTCTTAGCCCAGTGACTAGATCAAAAATAGTGTTACTTCATCAATGAAATGTTTCCTTTATGAACATAAGCAAACAATTAAAGTATTAGCAAAACAGTTTGCATTCAGGCTTGGAAGTTTTACCAGGATACTGGACAATATAAGGATAAGCAAAGATCAGGAGGCCAGTGCAAAACAACATTGCAACTGGATAGATAAATTCATAGGCTTTCTGAAGCTAACTGAATGCTGATGGCCGTAGACATTTGCAGCTAATTATCTGGTAAAACTGGCATTAGTTTTACCCTGCAAACTGCCCAAAACTGTCCAAGAGAATTTGGATTATTCAGGCACATTGCTAGAAAAAAAGCCAATTATTTCAGAGAGGAATCGACTCAAGCGGCTGAATTTTGCAAAAAGTTACATTCAATGGACTGCCGATGACTGGCGTAGAGTTCTTTGGAGTGACGAGACACACTTTTGCATCTTTGGATCAGATGAAAAAAACCTTTGTCAGACACCACCCAACTGAGGAATTCCATCTTAAATGTGTCAAAAAGACGGCGCAAACAGGAGGCATAGGTGTAATGGTGTGGTGTGTGTTCAGTAGCTTTGATATTGGTACAATTGTTAAAGTAGATGTAAAACTCAACAGTGTAGGCTATATGCAGTTAGTTAAGGAACATGTTCTGCCATATTTGACTGACCAAATGCCACCTAGAGCTATTATCATTTATTTATCAACAATAGCCCCATTCACAAAGTCAAAAAAGTAATACAATTTTTTGATCACCATAAGATGGATGTCATCGGTGACCTTCATAGACTCCGGATCTTAATCAGATTGAAAATTAACGGAATTATTTCTAAAAGAGTTCATATTAAAAAAACTGACAAATTTAACCTAATTATACGATTATATTAAATATGACAGAGCATTCCAAATGATTTTTGTGCTCACTTATCAAACTCGATGCCTAGGTGATGTGAAGCTTTAATTAATAATAAAGTTTACGGCACTAAATATTGATAAATATTTTGGGTTTTTTGGGGGGTTTTTTTGCTTTAAATATAATACTCATGCAGTCTTAAACTTATTTTGCCGACAAATTTGGATAATTTAAAGTAATCCAGCATTAAAATTTTTCAAGTTGTAGAAAAATATACAATTTTTACATCATACAAAAGAGAAATAAATTCTGCATAAAGCGTACACAATAAAACTAATTTATATTGTTTTATTAGAAACATATTCTGAAATAAATAAAACTTTAACCATTGGTCTTAAACTTATTTTCACCAGTGTATATAAATCTTAGGTGGAGCTGGGGTGGTGTAATGGTTATCAGATAAGGAAAATGGTATGTTTAAAGCTATGAATCCACTTCTTACTGATTTATTTAAAAAAATAAATAAATAAAAGATGGAGACATATGAGACAGCTGGAGAAAATAAGAAATGACTTTATTATTAGATTTAAATGACTGTACTTAGGTCTCCATGTTCTAAGCAATGAGACAGATGTTGTGTTAAGATTGCTAAAAAAAAAAAAAGAGCATAACATGATGAAAAAGACGCCAAACTTGACAAAAACTAAATCGTCTAAATGCTTATGTTATTATTAAGAGGAAAGATTAAAGTTTATCTTAATTATTTTTTTAAATTTTTCCTTCTTTTTAGAACATTCTAAAATTTGATTAAAAAAAAAAAAAAACAACTTGTTTCTCTTCGCATCACCAGAAGTAGTAAAATAACATACAATTTTTAGCACATTTTTTTTTGGTATGACACACATTAATTTGGAATATCTTGCAAAAATAAAAATAATTGTCCGACGTTAATGAAACTTTCAGAAACTATTCACAGATGATCGAAATTATTATAAATAGGGCTTTTTTTATATTAAAGTCATGGCAGAAATTTTTTTTATATTTATTACCACCCCCATAACTAATTTTTTGAAAACATTAGAAATTTGATCACATCAGGTTTAGTGATTACAATAGTTAAAAGCACAAAGCTTTGAGGAATGCAAATCATGTATTTTTTTGTTTTTAATTGGACCCCCCCCTATCTGAAAATCAGCTCTGAATTGTAACATACAAGACTCAATAAAACAAAGATATTATTTAATTTGAAATGCTTTTGTTTGTTTTTAGTTGTTTTTATGAATATGGACAATATTTTCTGAAAGCAAAAAAATTTTGATAAAAATGAATTTTTAATACAATTATTTGTTATTTCCTTAATTATAATAGATTTTTACATTTAAGTTGTTAAAATATTATAAATTTATTTAAAAGCTGCATCAGGTTTCCTAAGTGTCCTTATAAGATAGATCTTTTTTTTAGCGCGTTGTAAATTGTATCATTTTGACTAATCAGAAGATCTGCAGTAATTAAGAAATGTAATTTTGTGTTTATAATCAGGCTGTAATTATAAAGTACAGAATACCAACCAGAATACAATTAAATTGCGTTATTCAAGTTAAGCATTGTTCTCTGCTGTTAAGGCTTTTACTTTTGCGAAACATGTGGAGAAGTTAATTTGATTTTTCGATTTCAACTGAGAAGGGTACCTACAAGTATCAGTATCATATGAAATTTATATGATCTTATTTTTATATTAATCTCAGTTATGACATTTTTCCATACATGAAATATCAAAATTAATAATAAAATGAATGGAAATACAAATAACACAGTAAAATGTAATAAATGTACATAAAATTATAGTATTTTATGTACACTTGTGATAAAATTTCATAAGAAAGGTACCTATAAATTAGATACCTTTCTTATGAAATTTAATCTCACACTTAACAGTCTTATTTTAATTTCTTTATAATATATTTTCCATAAAGCATCATAAACGTAAAGGTGAAAGCTAAGTACAAAAAAAATTAGAGCGCTGAAAGTTTTCCTTAAAAATAACGAGGTAAATAATTTGTTCACTTAAATGTAAATAAATTCACTTTTCTCCTTCCGTAGAACAAATTATCCTCACGGAATCTGTCAATATGTCATTCATCACCTGTTAAGTGAGGCGAAAGTTTATGACCGGCTTTGTTTTATTTTCAAATTACATCTTTTTGACACAGAAGCTAGGTTAAGGTTTGTTCAAAATATTCTAAATAAACATAATTTCTGATTTTCTTAAAATAAGTTTTGAAAAAATCATAATTGATATTTAAAAGAATTTGAAAATGAGATTTTCATTTTTTTTTATAAAATGGAAAAAATCTGTCAATTTTGCTGACTCAAAGAAAAAAAAAAACAAAAAAAACAAACAAAAAAAAACAAGATTTTTAACGAAAATTTTGGACGTGCTAGGAATGATTAAAAAATGTAAAAAAATACCCCCAAAATACTTTGATCTTTCCTCTTAAAAATAAACATTTAGATGATAAAATTTTGCTTTTGTCAAGTTTGGCGTCTTTTTCACCATGCTATGCTCTTTTTTTTTTAGCGATCTCGTGGAGGTGCCGATGTTAAGATATCTGTCTTTTCGTTTGGGATCCAGAATTCAAGTCTCACTTATTCTTTATTTTGGATTCATGTTACTTACTGATGACCATCAATTGATATTCAGAGCTGAGATAAAAAGCAGCTAAAAAAATCTAAGAGAGAGAGAGAGAGAGACAGGCAGAGAGAGAGAGAGAGGCAGAGAGAGAGAGAGAGAGAGAGGCAGAGAGAGAGAGAGAGACAGGCAGAGAGAGAGAGAGAGAGACAGACAGGCAGAGAGAGAGACAGATGACCAGCATTCATATTTATGATTGTTGTGGTACTTGCTGTGAGCTTATTCAATCATTAACTGAAGAATTAAGATTCATCAGAAATTAAATAGGAAAAAACAGTGAAATTTTCATGGCTATTTCTAGTAAATAAATAATAAATCAGGATTTTTTATTTAAAATGAACACAAAAAAAGTTTCATATCATCATCTTGCAATGTTTCTGCTTGTGACAGATTACAAACATTTTTTATGAGATGAATTTTAGTTAAATTTTTTAGGTCAATACATCTGTGAACATGACCAGCCTGCTGGGGAATTCGTGGTTTTATTGAGATACCATCTCGAGATAGAAGCTTTTTGACTTTGGTTGGCAGTCTATTTGACCAATAGTTTAGGACTATTGATAACACAACCATTGACAACTTTGCCTACCCAATTTTACACCCAAGGCTTGTACCAACCTGTAGTATGTTTTCACACAATTCTCAATGGTGCCATACTCTGAGATCACCTCCCCAAACTGGTCTTATCAAGAAGTCATCACTTTGGTTAATTGACCATGAGGATTCAAACCAAAGTCTTATGGTTGGAATAGTTAGGTACTAACCATTTGGCCACACATTCTATATCAATTATACCATAAATTGGGAGTTGACAAATTAAGCAAGAAAAATACCTCTTTGTAAATGTATTATTTAGAGTTATAAAATAGAAAATCCTTTGTTGAAAAAAAAAAAAAAAAAAAAAAAAAAAAAATTTGTAAAAGAGATTTAAAAAATAAACAAAATATATATATATAAATATATATATATATATATATATATATATATATATATATATATATATATATGGATATATAATATGAAAAAAACTTACTTAAAATAAATAGACAAAACTTATCTATATTATTTAATGAAACATTCATTAATGAAAAAATTGTTGCCTAAATATACACAATATATATATATATATATATATATATATATATATATATATCCTGAAGATTGTCCTTAAGCATGAAACATACTGTTGCCGCTGGATGTTGCCCTCAATGTCTACTTTTATATTTACATACATTATCCATGATTATAGAGTATTATAAGTTAAATGTAGCATACCTCAAGACTACATTTTTATAAGGGCTCGATGCCAAAGTCAAGAGAGCCTAAATATAATAGAATAATAATATCAATTCAATAATACCATTAGATGTAACAATAATCATCCGGTGGAACTATGGATTAATAAATATATCTCCCCCGCCTTCATAGTAGCACAACTGAGTTTCATGCACAGGTTATACTACTGGTGAGGAAAAAAATGTATATTTAATAATATATAATTTATAGCTCATATATCAAGCACTATTTTATTAATACCACCACTCATATTTTTATTTAATATATTTATATATATATATATATATATATATCCTATAAAGATTAAATATTGGTGACTGATTGTTTGCTGAAAGTATTGTGTTCTAATAGTTACTAATTGAACTTGTCAACAGAAAAGAATTAGTATAAGAGTAATTAGTGACAAGAAACAAACATTAATACAAGGGGGTGCTGAAAAGTCCTCAACCTAGACCACTTCCTAAAATCTAAGCAAATGACCAAACATCAAGATTTATTTTGAAAACTCTTAGTTCAGCTGAGAACTTTTCAGTGCCTAATGTAGTAGCAATATTATCATTATGTTTATTTTTTTTTTTTTTTATGAGACACATAATTATTATTTTATTAGTAGTATTATCAATGATTCTTAATTTTTTATTTGTATTTCTTCTGCCATTAATTAGTCCCGCATATAATGAACTACATCTGGCAACAAGATTTGTTTGTTATTTAAGAGAATTCTTTCAGCCATTCCACCTAAATAAAAAGTCTGTTTTCATACATAAAACAGCTAAGTTCAATAATTCTGCAAAAGTCAAAAAGTAAGGAATATTTTTTCTGAGTGAACCAGCCTACTTAAGTAGTGCCCCCACCGGGTCCAAAGTTACATATTCAAAAACAGAATGTTATTCTTTATTAGGAAAAGCACAGAAGATAATCTGCAAGAGACATTAAATATTGACATAATTTTATAACTGATATACCCTTGGAAAAAAAAAAAAATATTGGTTGCTGATGGTTTCAGAATATTGATAATTGAGTTACTGAATCATTAGTAGCATTAATAAGCCAAAAAAGAGTTACTTAGCAATGCCCAGCTTTTCACCAAGTAACATGAAAATGCAGTGCTAGGTGAGAGAATACAAAAAAAAAAAAAAAGGACTGCAGGCCTTTTCCCATCAAGCACTATTATATACAGGGACCTTTGTAAAGAGATTTGGCAAAAAACAGCTCAGGGAGAAGTGGATTCTTAACTTTCCCAAGGTAAGAATTGCGTAGCAGGGTAAGACCGATCTTTCGATCGCAGCTCACCAATGGAGAAGTAAAGTAACTACTTCCCTCCAGTAGGTTGTGGTGAGAACTTGAGGATCCTCATGCCAGACATACAGAGAAACCAGTAGCAGCAGGCTGGTGGACTGCAGTTAATGAGCACTGCTTGGTCAGCACTGCTCACTTCAGGGAGGAGGATGAGTTGGTGATACCTAATACAATTAGAATGCTACTGTGGGGCATTTGGTTAATGCCTCCATTGTACTCCATTGGCTTTCCATAAAATCAGGTGATAATGAAACCATGGATTGTTGCTGTGCAATGACAGTTTGGGACCATAATCGAGCATAGAAAATTGGTCAAAGACTATAAAGACTGCATCAAGAGGGGATTGAAAGTGCTATGCAAACTGATGCAAACACCTGGGAACAACTGGCACCAGACACCATCCTGGATGGTGCTGAACACTTCATACTGGAGTAGAAACAATCAAAGAATCAAGGCTGGCTAGTTACCAGCACACATCAGCCTTGAGACATGGCCATCATGCAATTCAAACCACCAGACTAAAATGGATCTCCTTTATGTGTCTTTGTCAAATAATATGACAGGTAGTCGATGATGAAGGAAATAAGTGTGTAAATGGACTTCATGGAAACAAGATTAGTAATAAATTAGCAATACTAAAAAGAACAAGATATCCAGACACAGACAGCAAAATGAAAACACTATTAAAGAGTTCAAAATTTCCTGAAGGTTACCAGATTTAACACACATATACCTAAAGATGGCTGGAAAACACAGTTGCTGAAATATTGTGATAGTAAGAAAGATTACAATATTTAGGCTAACTGTAAATAATAAACTTCTTATCGTAGAAATTCAAACAAATAAAAAAAAATAATTTCTTCAATGAAGAATTTTCATTATTAATTCTTATCTCTTGATTTTATACTTGTTAGTAAGTTTTAGTAAATTGAAGAGAGTGGTTAGTAACACATTAGGATGAAAACTAAAACCTACCAAAGAGTGGTCAACCTCAAAAGAATCAATAGCTTGCTAACTAGAAGTGCTGTAAAGTCACTGTAAAAAAAAATAAAAAAAAAAAAATAACAGAAAACCACTCTACTAGTCCTTTCAAGAACAATCCTGACTCCTGACAAACAAATCAAAAGTAACAAAAAAAGAAAAAAGGTTGTCAGCTTCCTTGGAACTGACTCCTCACCCAGTTAGAAGAGACCATCATCCAGCAATTGTTGTTTGCAACAAAGATAAAATCATAATCAGGACATGGAAATTTAGGACATACCAATGTAAAACAGGAAATAGAAATGCTAAATATCAACATTCCTAGGAATATGTAAAACTGGATTGACAAACAATGAAGACTCCACAAAGTGATGATCACAGAATCATATGCAGGCAGAAAGAGAAATGAAAGAGAAGAGAACCAATATTAAATAAAAACAAGAGGAAATGTGTTATGGAAGACTAGCAGCTGTTGAACAGAGCTCTAATGATATTGAAAAAGGATATCATTCAGTATAGTCATCAAAATCATATGTACCAACATCATAAAGTACAGAACAAATTAGTAAGTTCTACAACATATTAGATAATGCTAAAAAGCTGGTGGAAATTGCTAGGAATCATCCTCATGGCGAACTTAAATGCAAAAGTAGGAAAGGAATAAGGCAGCAAAATAGTCAGCAAGTAAGGACTTTGATTGCACAAAGAATGCTTGTGGACATGGGGAAAAAAATAAAAGAATATAAAATACCAGACAGACTACCTAACAATCCATAAAAGATTTAGAAAAAGACAGAAAATGTGTTCTTTGTCAGGATGCGTAAGATCTAAAAAAGTGAATGCTCATAATAGAAAAAGATATCAAAATAACAGAATGAAGAAATTGGAGAGTTTTTCTATGACAACAAAGAGAAATCTACATGGAAGGACCTGTAGTATAAAAATTTTAAGATAAGATCAATACTGGCTAATATGAACAGAAACATGTATTGTAATGGAGATGCTGTCAGTGTTTTGGGGGATTGATAACGTTAGCAAAATAAATTTTCCAAAAACCAAACTGCTCTCTTAATTGTTTGAGATAACCTCTCTTGCCTTCGATCATCATGGCTAAAGCTAACCCCCAGGAGAGTGATTCATTGCACCTTCTCAGACTAAAGTTTTCTGCTGACACAAACTGAAAAGATTATATTGAATCAATTGAGATTGATACTAGGAAATTTGGTTCATATGTCTTGCTAGACTATTTTTCTCACCAGAATCTATTTTACACAATTATATGTCTACCATTCATCCATGCTTTGAATATTGCTGCAACATCTGGTTTGATACTTCAGCTATATACTTAGAGATTCTTGATAAAATCCAAAGAATCTGCAATGTTATTGGTGCTGACCTGTCATCTAGACTTCAGTCACTTTCCAACTGCCATAATGTAGTTTTCCTGTGCCTTTTCTATGAATATTGTAATCTGGTAATCGTTCTGATGAGCTTTCTTCTTTGGTAGCTCGACTTCATGAATTTAACCACAGTACTAGATTGGCAGCTAGGTCTCATTTTACAGTTTAAATGGCTAGATGTAATCATAAGTTCTATGTTAACAGTTTT